CCGTAGAGACAAGGATCACTACCACTAGAAAGAATGATGCTCTGTTGGCCAAACTGCATCTCCTTTTAATTTTAACAATACATAATTGTTTTTCTGATTTATGCTATGACTGTTATGTTTATGAAACTCAGATCAGAAATGACTGAGGTGCCTAATGTCAGGCAAGGGGAGCTCAGTACCTTATTCCATCCCATCTAACTTTCTGCCACTGGTCCTGGTTCTTTTTTTTTAATATTTATTTTTTTAGTTGTAGTTGGACACAACACCTTTATTTCACTTGTTTATTTTTGTATGTGGTGCTGGGGATCGAACCCAGGGTCTCGCACGTGCCAGGTGAGCGCTTTACTGCTGAGCCACAACTCAGCCCAGGTCCTGGTTCTTCATGGCATTTCCAGGAGCCAGTACCAACAGGTACTCCTCTTTCCCCATAGCTCTGTGCAGCAGCGCTGAAGGACGGCTGGACCAGGTAAGTTATTTGTGTGGTAGTGGACTTGACCTTCTCAGCAGCAGGAAGAGACTCCTTGGAGAGGAGCCAGGGACTAAACAGCACCAACAAGGCCAAAAGCAGTATGGCACATAGGCACACCAAAGCTCCAATGTAGACCAGGCTCATTCTCCAAAGATATGTCCCAGTTAGAATGTTAGAACATCACATGAATAAAATAGAACTTGGAGACTGTCCACTTCAAGCAGCTATTGAGAATAGAAATCCATTCTATTAGATGAATCACAAGACTTGATTCAGCATTTCTGGACAGCTCCCAAGGCAGTCAGCTTAACTTTACAAAGCACTTTTCCATTGCTTGTGGCCATTAAGTACTAGAAAGGTCTTGAATATTGGCAACCCTTCACTTCCAACTAACTTTCTGCCACTGGTCCTGGTTCTTCGTGGAGTTTCCAGGAGCCAGGCTTCTCCTCTTCCACTGGAGTGACAACCCTCCCTTCCCCAGACTGCCTCCTGATCAGATGGAACACCTGCACTTCTCCCTCCTTCATATATGACTATGGACCCCTGAGACTCCTACGATCTTCCTCTGAATGAATTGTGGTTGTCAATAACCCCAAATCCTTACATAGAGTAGGAAGCAGAGACTGTCTTCCCTCTTGATCCAGCCACTATAAGCCCATGAGTGTAGATCAAGGTGGCACCTTTTACCTGGCTTGTGATTGAT